ATTTAAACAGAAAAAGGTTACTGCATTACTGTTAAAAAGTGCGAACAATAAAAAAAAAAAATTAAAAAGGCAGAGATAACGATTGACACTATATTTAAGTTTCGACTTCGAAGCCAAAACAGAATTATACAAGCGAGATGTGAGATAGAAAAATCTGCTTGCCTTACTAGCAAATCCAATGGATCAGACAAAGCAAACCTTTTAACTACTCTTGAAAAGTACCTATAATCAGTGGTTAGCAGGGGCAAGAAATGGCTTGTAAATTTTAATGCCGTCAAAGCAAAAGCGCATTAATTCAATCACCACATAGAAACTTTTATGGCTTGCATAAAGATGGGCAATGCTGAACTCCAGGAGAGCACCCCCCTACGTCTTCTTGGACTTACATTTATATATCGAGTCAACTGCTACGTCTGCAGGAAGGAAGGCTAGTTCACTGTGTCGTGCCAAAAGTTGTTCTCATTAGAATTCATTTTACATATTCATAAATCTACCATCGGTCCATGTTTTGAATACTGTTGTCATATCTGGTTTGGTGATCATACTGTGCATCTCGAGATTCATGACTTCAATCCAGAGAAGGATTTGCAATATAATCGATCTCGTCTCCAGTTACTTTCTTACTGACGTGACGTGGCTCCTCTCTGGCTGTTCTAAAAATATTTTCAGGGTAACTGCTCAAACGAGCAATATTTCCTCGTACCTCAACTACATGGATTTCAAGGTGGTACTAGATTGGCAGATAGGTCTCACTGTTTTAATGTTGAACTAGCTAGACGCAAGCGTAATTTCTACTCGTCCGCTTTCTTCCTTCCCCGATAAATACAATCTTTAATCTTCTTATTCTCTTTTCCTTTCACCCCATGTACCCTTCTTCCTGCATTCTGTGGAATTTTGGATTTGCTTGGGAGAAAATGAAAAAAAGTAAATCTGAGAATACAGTTTTGGGTAATTTATAGTCGTATCTTTGATATAATTTGCAGTTTGAAGGAAAGGTTACATTTATGAAAATTCTGCAAGTTATTTCAAATTTAATGCAAAAATGAATTTTAAAAAAAAATAAGTCAAGATCTCTCTATTTATTTCCTAGTTGTTTCTTCGATGTGATATTTACTTTTATAATAGACCTTATTTCTCAACTGAACAATTTTATAGAAATTATATTTAGTTTATTCTTACCAGAAGGAAATAGTGATTATCAAGAGGACACACATAAAACTAAGTAGGCACAAATCGCCTGTACTCACCAGAATAGCTTCATTGATTTGAACATCAGCAGATTTTTTATAATTTTTATTCTATTATCTTTGCGAGGTTCCTTATCTCTGAATCCGGAGTTCATATAATTATATGCATAATTTAATCTGCACAAACATAAAAAATCTATCGCCAAACCTAACTGTGTACGCTCAAATATATACCCTGGCGTGTCAAAATCCTTTAATGGTTGTGGCAGGTGGCACTACACGACTTGATATCAAGAAAAGGCGCACATGTATATAGGGTAGTATATGTTTTTTAAATAATCCTGTCATAATTCAAATCAAGGCATTAAAGCCACTAAGACACAAAAGGTTACTGCGTTACTGTTAAGGACTGCGAAGAATTAAAAGGACAAGATTTAACAAGACAGAAGATAACGATTAGCATTACATTTATATTTTTGAAGATCAAAGGCAATAAAGCCACTAGGATGCAAGGGGTTACTGAGTGTGAGAGAATATGAGAAAAACTACTATTAATGAGAGAGGACAATAAAATAACTGGAATTAAGATGACAGAAGATAACGATTGATATTGCATTTCAATTTTTGAAGATCAAAGGCAATAAAGCCACTAGGATGCAAGGGGTTACTTGAGTGTTAGAGAATATGAGAAAACTACTATTAATGAGAGAGGACAATAAAAGAACTGGAATTAAGAAGACGGACGATAACGATTGAAATTGCATTTAATTTGAACTTGAATTGGAAGCAGGAAACCAAAACAAATTTCTGCTAGCGTGAAGTGAGAAAGAAGAAACTGCATAGAATTTACGTTTAAATCTCGACATTTTAAATGTAAAATAATGTGACTGACGCCAAGTTTGTACTACTCTGAAATCCGCATAAAAATTTCAGTTCATTAAAAACGACTGATAAGGTACTGTAGTTAGGCAGAGACCGAGTTGAAATATATCAGCTGAAGAATGCCGGAGCGTACAACAGCCGAAACGTCCTGAGCATAGTACTAAAGATGAGGACAACAGTCCAAGCAAAGTAAATAGTGTAAATAGTTACAATACCTCATCTGAGAAATAGAGACAGATGTTGAAGGTGAATATGGCAATAAAGATGAGGATAACAGTCCAAACAATGTAAATAGTGTAAATAGTTACAATTCCTCATCTTAGAAATAGAGACAGATGTTGAAGGTGAATATGGCAACAAAGATGAGGACAACAGTCCAAACAATGTAAATAGTGTAAATAGTGACAATACCTCATCTGAGAAATAGAGACAGATGTTGAAGGTGAATATGGCAATAAAGATGAGGACAACAGTCTGAACAATGTAAATAGTGTAAATAGTTACAATTCCTCATCTTAGAAATAGAGACAGATGTTGAAGGTGAATATGGACAACAGTCTAAACAATGTAAATAGTGGAAAGGTTACAATACCTCATCTGAGAAATAGAGACAGATGTTGAAAGTGAATATGGCAATAAAGATGAGGACAACAGTCTGAACAATGTAAATAGTGTAAATAGTTACAATACCTCATCTGAGAAATAGAGACAGATTTTGAAGGTGAATATGGCAATAAAGATGAGGACAACAGTCCAAACAATGTAAATAGTGTAAATAGTTACAATACCTCATCTGAGAAATAGAGACAGATTTTGAAGGTGAATATGGCAATAAAGATGGGGACAACAGTCCAAACAATGTAAATAGTGTAAATAGTTACAATACCTCATCTTAGAAATAGAGACAGATGTTGAAGGTGAATATGGCAATAAAGATGAGGACAACAGTCCAAACAATGTAAATAGTGTAAATAGTTACAATTCCTCATCTGAGAAATAGAGAGAGATGTTGAAGGTGAATATATAAAGATGAGGACAACAGTCCAAACAATGTAAATAGATAAATAGTTACAATACCTCATCTGAAGTAAACAGATGTTGAAGGTGAATATGGCAATAAAGATGAGGACAACAGTCCAAACAATGTAAATAGTGTAAATAGTTACACTAACTTTAACCTAACCGTAAGCCTAACCCTGCCGTATTCAGAGCGGGGACGTATGATAGCCTTATAAATATTTAAGATCGATTCTGATATATATATATATATATATAATTTTTATTACGAGTGATTATAATAAAACAGTTTAAAACGCTATACAAATCTTTCCTGTTTCAATACTATGATTGTACTTCTTCAGGAGATGGTTGGTGGTAACTGGTGATAAATTATGATTTTTTTTAGCGAAATTTAAAAACAAATCGTTACCTCTTTACAGGAAATTAAAGGATGGGGTGGTATAAGGTCATAATTAAAAATATACTTTTAGGTATGTCTCGATGAACGAATTAAATATCAGATCTCCGCTGAATAGTAAAGTAATCTCAGGGGGTGGAGGGCGTGAGTTATTTTTTTTCATGTCACCCCCACTTTTTTCTCCTAAAAATCATTTCATCAGCAATTACCAACCATCGCCTGAGGAAGTACACTCATAGTATTGAAACATGAAAGTTTTTGTGTAGCCATTTAAAATGATTTTATTATAATCTATTATAATAAAAAAATATTATAATTACACACACACACACACACACACACGCACGCACGCACGCACGCACGCACACACACACGGTGGATTAATGGGTAGCGGCTCGGATTGAAGAATTAGAGAACTGAATTCGAATTCCAGTCAAATCCATTACATTCACTTACATGCTAATACCCTTAGGAAATGTATGAATCCTCTTCTGCATCCGTCCAGCTATCGGTAAATAGCAATTAGATAGATAGAGTTCTATAGGCTTGGATGGCAACTGGCCTACCGCAGAAAGAAATGGCAACTTACAGCGGGAAAAAAAATCTGCCTCGCCAGTCATGTATTGAAAGATACGTGATCGCCTAAGCGTGTATCACGCATGGCATATTACTGACTTCAAGCGTATCTCACAAGAGGTTCATATGAATCACGTTGCAACATATAGTGTGCAATACTTAAATTGCAGCCATTTAGCTATTATTAATTATGCATGCGCGTTATTTCTTTTTGAATTTGTCGACTGCACCGTATAGCGGGGTCAGTTGGACATCGTCTATGAGAAAAAGAGCACCATGAAACAATACACTCCGTCAGAAATTTGGAAACAGCATAATATCTTACTTGTCATTAGTGCCGAAAACTCCAATACGAATATTTAAGAGTGTTTCGGTGACAGTGCAGAGTATGCGGAAAGAGTTGAATGAGTCTAATGGTGATGATGAAACTAAGGCAGCTCGGAAAATTCTCTTTGGTGGTTTTGATAAGAAAAGAACTCCTAAATATGTTGGTGAGGGCCCCAGACTTAACAGGGAGGCTTACCTCAAATGCCTTAAGTGGGTAGTGACCTGGGTCAAGAGGGTGGCTACTAGAAGACACTATATCTGGCAAGAGGACTCTGCACCATGCCACACAAGCAGGAATTCCTTGTCGTAGCTGTCACTTAATATCTACGACCATATAACCCCTTACATGTGGACACCTAACTCTCCAAACTGCAATACACAGTTGAACGAGAAGCCAACAAAACTTGTATCATCAATGATGAAATATAGACAAGGATTATAGCAGCATTCAGTAACTTAAACAAGGAGACCGTCCAGGAGATTCCGGGGTCGTCTGCAGGCCATGATTCAAGCCAATGGCGATTTTATTGAACCAAGTTGGCGATTTCGAGATAATTTTGTTTTTGTCCATTTTTCGTTAAAAGAGGTGTCAGAGTTATTTTCATTTTTACTTAATTTAGACGACATTTTATCCATCGCAACCTGTAGATAGATAGATAGATAGATAGATAGATAGATAGATAGATAGATAGATGCAAAAATAGATAAAAATACCACTGAAAAATGTCAATAAACAAAATATGAAAGATCCCTGAAAAATAAACACAATTATTGGGGATTACCAACATTTCAATCTTAAAAATTTGGGTCGACCTAACATTTCTCATATATACCAACTATCAAAATTTTCAATGATATTATTACTCCATATCTCTCTAACTTAGTACCAATGAATTCCTCCAAAACAAAAACACAAATTAAAAAACAAACCCCGGCCATCTTTCTGACGTAGAATTTATTTACTAATGTTCTCGTCTCAGAAACTATTGATATTATCATTTTCGCTGTATAAAAATAATGTAATTCCACCTCCATCAATCCAACCCAATATTTTAAGAAAACTATAATTTAAATAGTTCTGTTTCTCCAGTTATTATATGTCCTATGTTGGAAACAAGGTTTTTATTAAAGTTATTAAACCTGAAATATAAAGACGATATATTTATTTTAATTGAAACATGAACAAAATAGAAAATCTAGTGAAAGCTACATTTACAAAATTTCGTCCTAAATTCTACTTATGAACTTAGTGAAAAAAAAAAACTTCCTTTCTTAGATGTTCTCGTCGATTTTTTGTAATAATAATTTAAAAAGTTCTGTTTATAAAAGCAACTAGTAAAGACTCTTGCCATCTTAATTTCTCTAGTGAATGCCTTCTTAGATATAAAATAGGTGTTATTAAAAATTTCCTCACGAGAGCGAAAGAGAACTCATCCTTTCGCACGCCTTTCTTTAAAGAATTAAACAATGTAAAACAAACGCTGATGAATAACGGATTTCCTAATCAATTGAAAGATGATAATTATTTCACAAAAAAACTTTTACCTCGAGTCAAAATTTTATATCTATTGAACAAAATTAAATAGGGCAAATATTATTTACGAATTTAAATGCCCATTAAGGAATTGTATTCCTGATCAATCAAAATTCGTAAATAATTATATAGGCCACACTACAAAATGTCTGATACGCAGACTCACTGTACACTTTTTCTCAATTATATCTCAATTAGATTTAAATATATATGGTGACCAACTGTGCACTATTCGTAAAATACTTGTTGACAACACTTATATAATAGCATCATTTACATGCAAAAAAAAGGCTAAAAATAATTGTAGCCTTATTAATAAAAGTAAAAAAACAACACTTAATATTAACTTTGAACATGGACACCATATCTTGACCGTCTTTTGAAAAAATGAAAACATTTTATAAAACATACATACAACAAACTATTTCTTATTTAAGCGCTCGGATAAAAAGAACATTTGTACAGTTTTTATATAATTTATCATCGAAAAGAAAAAAAAAAATCGCATGAGAAATTGTATACAAACTAAATAAAAGCAACTTGTGTGTCGTATTCATTGAAGTGAGCATATATATATATATATATATATATATATATATATATATATATATATATATATATATATATATATATATGAATAAAAAAAAGAAAACGTAACACGTTTTTATTTATATACAAAAGCAAAATTGCATAAAAAACTAAATCAAACCACCTTGTCTCTCCTGTTCAATGAAATGCATGAAAGAAGAATTTCTGTCTAAATACACACACACACACACACATTATACACACACACACACACACATATATATATATATATATATATATATATATAGATAGATAGATAGATAGATATGAAGAGCGTTGAATTGATAACGATAGATAGATAGATGAACAAAGTGAAATAGATAGATAGATAAACATACTAGGATAGATAGATAGATAGATAGATAGATAGATAGATAGATAGATAGATGAACAAAAGTGAGATAGATAGATAGATAGATAGATAGATGAACAAAGTGAAATAGATAGATAGATAGATAGATAGATAAATAAATAGATAGATAGAACAAATAGATAGATAGATACATAGATAGATAGATAGATGAACAAAGTGAGATAGATAGATAGATAGATAGACTAGGATAGATAGATAGATAGATAGATAGATAGATATATGAACAAAGTGAGATAGATAGATAGATAGATATACTAGGATAGATAGATGAACAAAGTGAAATAGATAGAATGAACATAGATAGATAGATAGATAGATAAATGAGATAGATAGATAGATAGATAGATAGATAGAAAGATAGATGAACAAATGAAATAGATAGATAGATAGATAGATAGATAGATGAACAAAGTGAAATAGATAGATAGATAGATAGATAGATAGATAGATAGATGAACAAAGTGAGATAGATAGATAGATAGATAGATAGATAGATAGATAGATGAACAAAGTGAGATAGATAGATAGATAGATATACTAGGATAGATAGATAGATAGATAGATAGATGAACAAAGTGAGATAGATAGATAGATAGATAGATAGATAGATAGATAGATAGATAGATGAACAAAGTGAAATAGATAGATACATAGATAGATAGATACATAGATAGATATATGAACAAAGTGAGATAGATAGATAGATAGATACATAGATAGATAGATAGATAGATAGATGAACAAAGTGAAATAGATAGATACATAGATAGATAGATGCATAGATAGATATATGAACAAAGTGAGATAGATAGATAGATAGATAGATAAACAAGTGAGAGAGATAGATAGGTAGATAGATAGATAGATAGATAGATAGATAGATATGGTCGAATTTTGATACTCATACGGACAGACAGATCGCAAAATCAACTAAAAAATCTGTCTTACAACTATAACATTAAAAACTTTAAAGAAAGTGTAGCTAAGTATAAAACAATGAGCTTTCCGTATTTTCTGTCCTTCGCCAAATAAAAAACGATATATTGTATCTTCATGTCAGAAAAATAATCTTAATTCCTTGACAATATACTCCGTCGGAAAATCCTGACTTCGATCTTCGGCTACCGATATTTCCTAAGCTTCGAATCACTTATCTCCATTTATCTGCCAATCACATAACTTAAACCAGCTATTCGAATTCTATTGATATTAGCCACCCTGATACATTTTCTTTTCTTTATTTTTATTTATCTTTTGTTTTTTATTTTCCTATTATCTTTCTATAACAATCTCAAGCTTTATATATTTGCTAACGTTCACCGAAAACAGAGCACGTGAGGCAGTCAAGGTAGAGATGATTACTGAAGGAAGTGTTCGATAGAAACCATGAAAGATAGACTACAGTTGAGCAGAGGCGGTTAATATTCTATCTTTTTCTTTCTTTCTTTAAAATCATTTTGTTTACACATTTTTCATGTTTAAAATTTGCACTACATACTAAAAGTCGCACTAAAACTTAATGCACTTTATAATATCTGGGCAGCATATTTACTGAAAACGGCAAAACTAGACAGAGAGATCGAGACGTCAGAAAGCCAACGCAGTCAGTTACCAACTTTCTCCACATCTAAAACATCCTAACATTTCTATGATCACCAAGGTAAATCTAATCAATGCCATTTTCCTACCAACGCTGACATAACAGTGCCAGACATAGCCCCTAACAAAAACCCTTGAAAGGAAAATGATTACTTGTGAGATGAAGATGCCTGAGGAAAGCATTGAACAAGACTAGGCGAGACAAGATCAGGAATGAGGCAAAAATAAATATGCTTGGATCCATACCAGTCATACAACTCATCGAACGGCAAAGGTTTGGCTTTTTTTGTTTTGTTTTACGCCATATAAACCTCAATGGGTTATTTAATGCTGAATTTTTTTTTTATTGCTGGTAATATTTTGTTTTGTTAAATCTGTTTCTGGTAATATATTTCCTTCAAAATTGTATTGCTGGTAATAATTTTTTTTCCAAAAAGTATTGCTGGTAATAGTTAACTATTTGCCCATAGCTGGGACCCTAACAGGTGCTACCACCCTGGGTCACGGTGGGCCTGGGAACACCAGCAATTAAGAGGGGGTTCCACGGTCCTCAAAACCTCTTGATCATAGGCCTTGCTGCTGGTTTAACGTCTTACCCAGGACGCGGATGTAGTTTAACGTCTTACCCAGGACGCGGATGTAGTTTAACGTCTTACCCAGGACTCGAAAGACAAAGGATCAAGTGGTTCGGACACATCACTCGTATGCCTATCAACCAACCAGCCCTATGAGCATACACACTCACCTGGAGAGCGAGAGACAGACCAAGAAGACGCCGGAGCGACTCAGTGGCAGACATTCTCAGAGTCCGCGAGATATATCTCCTCCAGGCAACTCGCCTTAGCACTGTCAGACGACTGTGTCTCCCCGAGACGCGTAACAGCACAAGCTGAAAGAAAAGCTAAAAACTAAACTTTATAATATATTACATCATTATATTGCTAAATTGTTATACATGTGGCCTCTTAGGGGCCAGAAAGAAAGACACGGAAAGAAGAAGGTAGTTTGAACAAGTGCATTGAAATAACGGAACATATATACAAAATAAGAGTGTTATTAGTCAGCAGACAGAAGTGTCTGTCCGAAACTCTCAGGTTGCACTGCGTTCCAACTACCTCGCTTAGGAAGTCTCGAAGGATAAAATGAACATTCGGACAGTTTTTATATAATTTATCATCCGAAAAGAAAAAAAAATCGCATGAGAAATTGTATAAAAACTAAATAAAAGTTTTTTTGTGTCGTATTCAATGAAATGTGCACACACACACACACACACACACACACACACACATATATATATATATATATATATATATATATATATTTTAAAAGAAAAACAGACCACTTTAAGGTACTATTATAATAATTTATTTCACCAGAGTCCTGTTAAAGAACGCCGGATTATCAGATAGGACTTCCAAAAATGAAATCATTTCATTTCTCTGGTGAAATAAATTATTATAATATCTTAAAGTTGTCTGCTTTTTGTTTTAAATATTAGCTCTGGATTTACATTGAGCTCTCAGGATTTCATCCCCCTTGGAATTACCCAAGTTCTTCATAACTTAAATATATATATATATAGAGAGAGAGAGATAGATATGGAGAGCGTTGAATTGACAACTATAAATAGATAAACAAAGTGAGATAGATCTATATTTCTGAGATGAGATATTATGTACAGTATTTACATTTACTATTGACCTCATCTTTGTCGCCATATTTGTCAGGTGGTTGGAATTTCGAACTGAACCCTTTATCTCGATCACTGAGTAGACTGTTCTGGTTCCATGTGCCATGTTTGATGTATGTCAGTTATCAGTTATCTCCTGCTAATTTTCCCTCTGAAAGTTCTCCAATGCCTTAACCAAGAATTGAACTCACCTTTTTTGGGTCTGTCACTGGATCTAACGAACGCCTTTATCCACTGTGCCATGTGTCCTTGAGGACATCTGGGTATGAACTTCTGAGTATTATAAACCTAATGTTTTCAGCATCATTTTTACCAGTGCTCATATTGCAATTTTTGTTGTTATCATTGCATGTCTTTACCAGAGTTCATATTGCAACTTTGTTATCATTGCTTTTCTCTGGCACTCCTTATTAGTGCTTCCCATATTGTATTTATTTCTATGCTTTGTCGGCTCAGGAGATTTTTGTGGCCTAGCATATGTGCTGATTCCTTAAGTTTACGAATTTTCCAATGGTGTTCCCTGTCTATGATTTCAACATGATCCCACAGGGGGCGGTGATCTCCCTTCTCTCTCCATATGTGATCAGCCACGCCTGATTCTTCTACTTCCCCTCGTGTTACAGCTTTCTGGTGTTCTTGAAGCCTTACCTTTATATTCCTTTCCGCAGCTGCACGGGATAGCGTACACGCAGTCTTTAGTCATGTTCCTCTCTGTGGGGGGGGTCTCACTCGTGAGAGATACCTGCGAAGTGTTGTCACGCTTTTGAAGGTTGTCCTGATGTTATATGGACCGCAGATCCTTTGTATTTTCTCTGATAACCCCTTCACATAAGGCAGGCAGACTGTTTTCTGAGTGTTGTTGTCCTCCTCCTCCTCCTCCTCTTGTACCCGCCTATCCCAGTTTTTTGGGGCTGCTGCCATGTACCCAGGGTAGTTTTTACGTTGTAGGGTACTACTTATACTGACCAATTCCTTATCTAACGTCTCTGGATCGCCACTTATGACTTTTGCTTGGTGTTGTAAGCATCCCTTTCTTTACGCTGTATGGATGGTGGGAGTCGAAATTGAGGTACTGTCCGGTGAATGTGGGTTTACGGTATACGGACGTGGTGAGTCTGTTCACCAAGGTACCCACGGAGGAGGCACTCTCAGTAGTCAGAGATAGATTTACCTCTGACTCTTCCCTAGAGGAGCGGACCAGCATTCCAATAGATACTGAGGAAAGTATAAAAACTGAACGATGTTCAAGAAGACGATTGACGTTGCCTTAAATTTATGAAGATTGTAGTTATCATAAAAGCAAAGAGACGGAAGGGAGTTCCACAGAAAGGAAAGCGCGAGAAAAGAAAGTGTTTGAGTAGATATGTCGGTTGCATTGAACTAATTCAACAGCAAAAGGCTGGGACCTAGCTGCCAATCTAGCAGCACGTTTAAAGACATGTACTCCGAGCTCATCAGAGCAGTTGCCATGAAATTATTTGTAGAAAAGATAGAGGGAAGCCACGTTACGTCGGTGAGAAAATGATTGAAGTTGAGATACCAGAATCACTTATATTGCAGATCATTCTTTGGATTTTATCAATGACCTCGAGATGAATATCAGGAGAACCAGATCAGGTATGACAAGATTATTCAATTCACAGCCGAATTTGTAAATATGCAAGAGGGAATCTGAGGAGAAGAAAACCCTCTGCCACGACAAAGAGACCAAACATTCCTTGTAGTAGATGCGGATATTAATTCGATGAAGTTGTTTCACTTCAAATCAGCTGAAAACGTGAGACCAAGAAAGCCAAGTGTGTTGCTCTTTATAAGTTTAGCATCAGCCATACTAATGGCGTGCAATAAAAAGCCATTTCAAAATACCTTTCATTTCACGATTTGATAAGAACAATTCGATTAAAACAAACAATCATACAGTAATACGGTAGCTCTAGAGCTTACGTAGATGCCAGTGTGCCAAATCCTGTTAAACGCTTTCGAGATATCTAGAACCACGACTTATCAGGAGCTTGATATATAGATATATATATTCAGTGATGGCCATTAGCACATCAGCGGTAGACGTGGCAGAAGCCGTGTTATTTGCCAGAGAGTAAGTCGTTACGTTATGGCACTTAACCACTGCAGCACTGATTAAAGCCTCAAATACTTTACCGAAAAACGGTAGGAGACTAAGAGGAGGACAGTTAGAGGTTTCAGAATGTTCTCTAATGTTCTTAAAAACAGGAACTACAGAGTAGGACTTCCAACAGGCTTGAAAGCAGGAATTTCGTGTGTAATTTAAAATACTTGTAACTTTGGAACTATAAACGCTAGCAAGAATCGGTAAAAAAAAGATAAGAAAGAAGTTAAATATGTTATTGGGATTGTTAATTTTCTTAACCATCTTTAAAGATACAAACTATAATATGATTCTGTAGTTGTCGGAAACCATTTTGCAGCTGATTTTCAGTAATACTTTCAAGTATTCATAAATCGCGGTTTAGTTGAATAAACATTAATTTATCCCCATAAAAAAGAAAACCAACTGAACCAAACAACAATTCTACAAAAAGTCATTTTGAAGTTATAAGAAAAAATACGTAAAGCAAATAAATAAATATTC